AGGTCTCCCGTTTTGTTCCGGAGAGGGCCCACGTTTTCCCTTGTCTTCCTTTTATCCCTGATGTACCTATAGAATCTTTTCTTGTTGCCCTTGACATCCCTGGCCAGATTTAATTCTATCAGGGCTTTAGCTTTCCTAACCTGATCCCTGGCTAGGTGGAGGTGTTTTGCTGATAGGGTTCTGCTGGCACAGCCTTCACAGCCAAAGCTGTGGGAAAAGCAACAGCAGCAGAAAATTGTCCTGTTTGTGCCATGATGGTTTTCGGTAAAGGAGCCGAATTTTAGATGTGCGTAGGCAACACTTTTGCCTCCAGTTTAATGTCTTGAACGTTTTCGGCTTTGCCAGCAGGTGGCAGAGGCCGATCAGCGCTCTGCACCCCTGCGGTGGGAAACACGCGTGGAAGGGGATATTGCATTTTCCTGGCAAGATGACTGGCGTGGATGGGGTTGAAAACGAGAGGGAAGTGCAAGCAGCCTGTGCGTGCATGTGTAGACTGGAAGAGAAGGGAAGGGTGAACTCTCTTTTTCAATCCATTCTTTGTTTTCCCAAGGTTAAGCCCTGCTTACCAGAATAATCTTATCAGCTGAAACTGTTTCAACAGAACTGGGCCCTTAACAAAACCGAGATGCAGGCACTTTGAAATATGGTAGGAGTTAGGCTGTTGTATGCTTTAATTATTCATAAGCATGGCTAAATAGGCTTGGGGGGGGAAAGGCCTTTGAAAAATCTGGGCGTCTGGGTTGTTATTTGTGTTACTGTTTAATTTATTCGAGTGCAACCGATTCTTCTCAGAAGAAGCTGGGTGCTGTATACAGAGCCTGACCTGAATTACACCAGAATATCTGTAATGACTGCAGCAAAGCTATTCTGGATGTTTATCAGTACGGCGGGTTCAAAGTCTCAGTCGAGGGCTCTGATCTTTGTATGGATGCCACTTTCTACCGCAAGAGACAGATGATTGACATTGGATTTTTTTTTTTGATGTGTAACAAAGTCTCAGAGTGAAGGACACGGTAGAAAATAATGGTGGTGAAATCTCTATAACAATAAAATGTTTCTTTTGACAATTTAGCCTTTCTAATAGTAAATGCTTTCAAGATTAAAGAAT